AAATTAAATAAAATACAAAATAAGATAAATAAATAAAATAAATAAATACAATTTACAAAATAAAAAAATAGAAAAATTAGAAATTAAATAAAATACAAAATAAAATAAATAAATAAATAAATAAAATAAATAAATAAATAAATAAATACAATTAAAAAAATAAAAACATTTAAAAAAATAAAAATTAAATTAAATACTAAATAAAATAAATAAAAATAAAAATAAATAAAAAAAACACGTAGAGAGCCTTTTCTACATACTAGATATTCTAAGAAAACTATTTTCTTCACTTCTGTGATGCAATCCTACCATCTGGTTGAGTGAGAATCATTTTATTTAATTTAAAGCTTTTGGTAAAACACTGATTCTTATAACTGGAAGAGGTGGGTTTTTTCACCTTGATTATTACAACAGGAGGAGGAGCGTTTTTCTCTCATGAGTGCTGGTCACCTGGTTTCTGAAGGACATGGGGTCGATGGGGTCCTCAGCAGCCAGTGAGATGGAGGACAGCAGGATGAAGAGGAGGATGATGTTGGTGAAGGTCGTTGCATTAATGATTCGATGGCAGAGCTTCCGGAACCTAAAATAATCAAAAAGACTTTAATTACTCACACTGACAACAATCTTTCCCTATAATGATCAAATGCAAAAACATCTTCTTTCGATTATAAGAAATATGTAATTTATTTTAAAAAAAACACGTAAAATGAATGAATAAATAAATAAATTTAAAATTTAAAAAATAAATAAAGTAAATTACAAAATAAAATAAATAAATAAATAAAAATAAACTTTTGCTCCAACTTTTGTGTTTGATTTTCTCTAACTTTTTTTAAAAAAAACACGAAATTATCGACATTATCACTTATTTTAGACCTATATATATATACATACATAAAGTTACACATGCATATATTTATTCCTACTCTGTGTGGAATTTTATATATATATATATATGTACGGACATGTATATATGTATATGCTGTTGTTTTATTTCTGGAGTTAGTAACAAAAATAATGTCCCTATAATGATCAAATGCAAAAACATTTTCTTTCAATGATAAGAAATATGATATTTATTTTAAAAAAAACGTATAAAAATAAATAAATAAATAAATAAAATAAATAAAATAAAATAAAAAATAGAAAATGAAATAAAATAAAATAAAAATAAACTTTTGCTCCAACTTTTGTGTTCGCTTTTTTCTAACTTTTTCTAACTTAAAAAAAAAACAACTAAATAATTGACATTATCACTATCACTTATTTTAGACCTATATATATACATATAGTTACTTATGTATATATTTATTTATATTCTGTGTGGAATTTTGTATATATATATATATGTATACATGTATAGATATGTGTATCTGTATATGCTGTTGTTTTATTTCTGGAGTTAGTAACAAAAATAATTTCCCTATAATGATCAAATGCAAAAACATCTTTCAATAATAAGAAATATGTCCATTATTAAAAAAAACACACAAAAAAAACTAAATAAATTTAATTAAATTAAAAATAAATAAATAAAATTAAAAAAATAAATACAAAATAAAATAAAATACAAAATAAAATAAACAAAATAAATAAATAAATAAAAACAAACTTTTGCTCCACCTTTTGTGTTCGCTTTTTTCTAACTTTTTAAACTTAAAAAATAAAAACTAAATTATTGAAATATATATATACATAAAGTTACTTATGCATATATTTATTAATATATTCTGTGTGGAATTGTCGAGACATGTATATGTATATGCCATTGTTTTATTTCTGGAGTTAGTAACAAAAACCATTTCCCTCTGGGATTATTAAGTATTTCTGATTCTGATTCTGATTCTGATCTGAATGACCGGTGTCCTACTTGTTCTGGGGTCCGAATATAAAGAAGGAGCTGGCCTCTGGCATGGGCACGGCCTCCTCCTTCAGCTGCAGGTCGGCCATTGGTCGAGGCCTCGGACTCTCCGGGATGGCGGGGTCTTCCTCCTCATCATCACCTAAAGACCACAGACAGAAACACAGAGCAATCTCAGTCTTCCTCATTCAGCTCCCAGTGATGGGATAAAAAATAAAAATACAGGATTTACCCGGGAAGTCTGCCGGGGGGAAGGGGTCCTTGATCTCATTCACGTTAGACTCAAACTCGTCAATTTTTAACTGTTGATAGGAAGCAAAGAGCTGAAAATTAACACTCAGACATTTTTAAAAAGAAATCCATCAAATTATACGTATGTATATACATAAATATATATATATATATATGTACAGTGGGGGAAATAAGTATTTGAGCCCTTGCTGATTTTGCAGGTTTGCCCACTTACAAAGAATGCAACGATCTATAACTTTAATCATATGTACATTCTAACAGTGAGAGACAGAATCCCAAAGAAAATTCCAGAAAATCACATCATATGAATTTATAAAAATTGATAACCAGGAAAAATAAGCATTTTTTGTAAGTGGGCAAACCTGCAAAATCAGC